ATATAGTCGGAGATGATAATCCTAGGAGTGGACTATAGATGTGTTTGCCTCTCAAGACGTTGTCGTTGATGACGACTTTTCATTTTTTTTAAAGGCTAGCTGTTGTAAATGTTTAAATGATGTAGACACAAGAACTATTTTACCGTCGGAGATTGAAAAAAATCCCAGTAATAGACTTGTTGGACGCGTGTTCCACCGTTTAAATCATAGCCAAACGAAATGAAGAGTATGGGACGCCGTGGTGAAGTTTAAAGATGTTTATTCGTTTTTTAATAAATACAAAATGGAAACCCCTGCATTGTACAGTAGATAAAACAAAAGCATCATAAGTACAATAATCACATAATTAAATCATGCAAGTCATCATTATTTATTGTGATCAGATTTCTGTGAAAAAATGCCGTTTTCATAAGTTCAGTTCATATACATTGAAATGCAATTAATAAACCAAGAAATAAATACATAGTATTCAATATTATCTGTAAATACAAGTATAGATATCAAACAGTCATGACTCCGATCAATATTATTGAATACATAACATAAATATTCCTACGCAACTCACCCTAGACTAAGTGTCACACGGGTAATGAAAATAATACGTCATCGTCTGTTGTAGCATGGATAGCTTTGTAGAGTGGTGTGTATATAAAAGACACCTTACACCTCAGCGGCTGTATAAATGGTGCAACACAAACAGGCTACATTGACGGATTTATACTAAAAGCGTGTCGGATGGTGTAAAGTAAAACAACCAGCTTCGCTTAAAGCAAGTGAACGAATGTCCGTTATATTAAATGCCCATCAGGGCCTTGCCTAACATTGCGCCCGTCTAGAAGGACTACTTTTCGAGCATGGATGCACGTCCTTCTGGACTAAGTATAATAATCAATTTTAGGGAAAGAACAATAAAACATACATGAGAAAATATCATAATTTCATTATGGTACATTTAACTTTACCTACAAACAAGTTATAGATAAATAATCAAGGGACTACTTTGTCCTTAACGTAAGTACACCAGACCCACATGACCATTAAAGTCATTAGGCTTCGGGTCTGACACGTATGTTTAAATTAGACACACCCAATATGCTGTACGGTATTCTTAAATGAAAAACCAAGTTTTGAAATGGTAAAAACGAGTTTGGTCACTACAGACTCTATATTTTTTGCCGTTTAATACAATTAACTGTCTTTTCTTCATTTACTACAATGCATTTCAGATCGCTGTCCGATTAATCATTGTAGATTTTATTTTTTACCCAGAATCATGAGAAGAAATGCCCCTTTTTCAAAATAACTTCTACTTCTTACAATTTCTCGAGCTGTGTACTAAAAAGTGTAAGAGTACTGAAAGTCGACCTATTGATCGTAGGATATGTGTTGTAAAACTAATGTCAAACCAAATGTCAGAATAAGGGTTTATGATTTGATTTAATGGACTGTGATATCTTGTTTTCTGTTTTTCATGTTTACATTCCGACTGACAAAATACAGACATGGGAGAAATGGCATGGAACTTGTCATCAATACCCGAATATTAATTTATTGACTTTTTTGAGATATTTCGTTTTGTCTGTGTTTCCATTTCTTTCATTATATAGTATGTATTAAAAAGGAACCTCACTGATTTCAATGAAAAAAGAACTATTAGAGAAATAATTGTTCTTCATAAGTTTTAGAAAAATCTGAAAATTTGTGATTTTAAAGCTACTCTCTGTACGGTTTGTACAATGTTAGAATTTCATTAAACATCATCTCGCCATTTTCATTGCCATACATATGGCCCAAATATGAAGTTGTAAACATATTCTTACAGGCCCTTCTGCATGTGTATAGACCTAAATCAAGTACATTATCATCAAAACTGTTTAAACAAAAATGGGGACGTTTCCCATACAAAACAAATGGAGAGGTGATCGCAGTTTGTTTGTTTGTTTTTGTCTGTCTTTTACATAGGTTTCAATTCATGGATGTTAGATGCTCAAGGCCTTTTATGATGTATATTATTATGTCAATTTGAATTGAAATCTTAAAATACACTATAATGATGTTGAATTTTTGAAATGAGTCGTATGTTATGTAGCTTTCAATTATAGTATGTAATTATCAATCTTTGTTGAATGTTTATCAAATATTTATTTGTAACACCTGTGAATGATGGAAATAAAGTACCACGTTAAAAAAAAAACGTAATCTAACAGAATTTGAAATATAAAAGTTGCTATAACGATCATGATGTTGTACATGTACATGTATTTGATTCTTAACTTTAAGCATCTGAAGAATTGGGGGAACTGAAATCGCTACACAATGCTGACTGCTGTATTTTAACATTTGGTTATTATTAAGCAGTGGACATGGTTTTTAAAGAAATCGTCCGTGCAAGGAGGAGGAATCTGTGTGGCGATGGTAATAACGTCGATTTTCCGTCATGTTCTGCTATTTTGTCAACAGCAACAGAAAGAGACTATTTTAAAGAAATATATTTCAGAGGGTTTGCCAACTCGGCTTCAACCAAGATAATTGATAAACCAAGATTGAAAACGAAATAACTAAGTAGATATTAAAAATATTTATAACAAAAACAACTTAAAGTTACTCTTGCAAAATATTAATCTAATTTGATTTTTTTTCTTTCATTGATCTATTGTATGATATCGCGCACTGTGATGTGTATTTGTTGTGGTAGGAATGTTGTGCTTTTGTCATGTCATTTGTAGCAACAACTCCGAAGATCAAGATACATTAATCTTGATCTAAGGAGACACGAACGAACCGTCATGTCATTATAATCTGGTACATACGTTTTTATGATAAATCTATACATTAACGATTTCTAGGTGATTATCGTCGTAACGTACATTGAAACTTATTACATGACTTTTTGTATCAATAAAATAAATATGGCTGACAAAATTTTACAGGCAACAACAGACATGTGAATTCAATGAGTTTATTGTCATTGTCCGTTCCAATGGTTGAATGGGAATTATAAAAGCAATAATGAAAGTGCATGATGAAGGAAAAAATGTTGCCGTAAGAGATTTTTAAGATCGAAAGGGGAGGGGCAAGTAGACAGAAAACGTGTAGAAGAGAGAGTAGGGGAGATGGGGTGGGGATTATTTATTATTATAATGACGATCATAATTAGAGAAGTAAAAATCATATTATTTCAAGTTTGCATATTGAATTATAATTGAAATCTGATTGTCTCTTATGACGCTTTTTCTACTAGATATTCTCAAATGAAGATTTAAACGAATTTTAAATTACATCTACATTCTGAACGTGGCAAACCTTTGACTGTGGTGGCTTTTGTCCCGTGAGTCCCCTTGCACACTGTACAAAAATATGACCGTTTTATTCAATTAAACTCAGTCAGAATCTGAAAAATAATTATCTTTAATTGAATAACTTCTTATTGAATTCATGGTTGCAATCAAAACCCCCTTTAACATGAACAACCGAGGTAAATTGCGGTATAATTGAATAATCGTTAATGTAGCACAACGTTAGTGCAACAATGGAAATTGAAAAGAAGATTTAGCAATGTATCGAGTTAGGTGAAATCAGCGAATTACACTTTAGCATCTCAACAAACTATTCGAACATAGTTTATACATGTATTTTCACCTTGAAAATTTCCCTGAGAGAATTTATCAAAGCGTTCACTCTTATTTAAACTAAGTTTCACCCCGTAGCTACGTGCCTGCATGTTGAACAGAATATTTATCTTGGTCCTTATCAAAGATCGGTGCTTTGCAATTGAATAGCTAATTATAAAAAAAAAAATAGACCTACATTTTAGGCTATAAACATGCACCCAAAACATTCAAATATAAATGTGAGCTTCATACATCGTTTTAGTGTAAAAGCTAAGGTCACGTGCTAAACAATTCTTTACCAAGGAAGGACCTTCATAATGGAAAATAAAGTTTGAAAACTTCACATTTCATGAAATATTTCAGGAGTCGCAGGAATAGTTTGTGCTATCGTACATGATGATAATACACAGTTCATTCAGGAGGACCAAGGAAACGTGTAATGAATAGAAATCAATTGAATCAATTTGTAGGTCTTCACGAAGACATCAATTATCGACTTTGGCCCTGTCAATTAAAACGTGAAATATTGTGAGAATTAATTACACAATGTAATGAAACTACTAGTCTAAAAATTGTATGTGGCAATATAACTCTTCATTATCTTCAGAAAATGGACAAAAAAATAATTACTATTAGTGTCAAATCGACTTTAGGGCTATAGAGCCCAAAAGTAATAGTCTTGATTTTCAGACAATTGTACCGAATGGTCATACGTTTTATGCTGCGCAAAGATTTAATCAGTTTAAGCTTGGCCATCACAAGAAGTGGGTTATTGATGTAGACAAATGTTCATGTACCCTTTACAACTCTTTTCATGTATGTTATTACCAAAAAGAAAAAAGCCAGTCAGTCACTCAATAGTGTCTGGCAGTGAAGTCTAGCAAGTAAATGGGTTTCCTTGCATAATTTGAACATGAGGACACTGCTAACGTTTAAATTTCACAGATACATAATTCCGGCAAATTTCTACAGAATTTGAGGTTGGCTGCAAAAGGGACATAGTACCTTTAAGTTATAAAATAGGTTTGTGAATTTATTACATTAAAGTCGAGCGTATTTTTCACTTCTTTTGTCTAACTTCAAGTTTTCCATGAAAACAAATGATGTTGGAATGTTGCTTATACACTCAAAACATATTGATAATGTAAAATTAAGGCTGCAATCTATGTGCTGCATAATTGCATATGAATAAAGGAATGACGTACAAAGAAATACAAATGCATTACAAAACACATTATTCATTCAGGATTTGCTTTGGCATTATTTTGTCTAATTTGCTAATCTTCTTCTTCTTCTTCTTTCATAATTTGATGGAAATCAGTCATACTTGACAATTTTTGCCAATGAATTTATAATTTGTTTTATCCTCTCTCTCTCTCTTAATTGATAATTATTTATATACTTTATGTATTTTTCTTCCTTTTGCATCCCTAACAAAATGATATACATATATCTCATAGCTAAATTTACAATAAAAATCCGAAAAACAACCAATCCCTATTACATGGAAATACGGTCAATCACGTTTAGTTTTCACGATTTTCTTTCGACAGCAACACCATCTCATAGTACGTTTAATCATGATAAAGAATAAGATCCCAACGAGAAGTATACCAAATGCAGCGATATCAAGTAGGTATATCTGAAAGAATGCTAGGCTATGAGTAGGTGGGCGAAGGTGACCACCACCATGTTTGATCACATGTTCAATCCAGAATGCAGCCGTGGTCGCTGGTGGCATTGGACGATCACGAAAGATGGCAGAAAGACGCTTGGCGTTCGTTGAATAGCTTGTGTTCTCAGGGACTTCGTTGAGCTGTTGGTAAATGTAATCCGCACTCAATCGGTCTTTGTCAATCTTGGTACCAAGTCCATTAGCCAGCACTCTGGCAGCAACGTCATGCTGATCAGCACCCAGAGGCATAACGACAAGGGGTACGCCGTGGTACAACGCCTCCAGGAATCCGTTGTTTTCTCTATGATAGAGCACTGCTCGAGTCTTAGGATGCCCAAGCAGATCATTCAAGGGTAACCATTTCATCGGTTTGATGTTATCAGGTATCTTGTATGGAGGGGGCTTTTTCAAATGAAGAAGAACTTTGTGTGGGAGTCTACTGAAAGCATCGATGAACATGCGAATGATGTCGGGTCTACTTTTTGTTATTGAGGCAAAATATGTTCCAAGAGAGAACAGAACGACACCGTGCTTGCCCGATGATTGCATAAAGTTCTCTAACTCATTGTCGAGGGCTTCGGCTAATCTTGTTGTAAGTCCACCAACTGTAATGATGTTTGGCATCATGGCAAAGGGAAATTCTACCGAGCAATCACTATTGATAAGGAAAAGGTCAACATGATTACTGATGGTGGATTTCAACCGCGGATCTAGATCATATTCATCTACAAGACCAGTGGAAAATCCATTGATCACCATTTTATTTCCCCAAAACACAAAGAAGAGGTAAGTGACGGTATTCCTGAATCTTTGTAAAAATGTCATAACAGATGTGAAAGACGTCAGTGGTGCCGGTTGGTAAGAGGTCATAAATGGAGAGCCTGCTTCTTGAAATATATAAGGAAGTGGTGTCATGGGTGCAAGCACTATGACATGAAGTTTCTCGGTACCTCTATGTCTATCAAGAAAGGACTTAACAAACACACCACACGACCATACCACATCGACGACAAAAGCATCGAATTTCGCCATACGGTCTAGCATTCTTTGATCTTCAAAAACGGATTCACAAGCTTCTCTGTTTACAGAAGTGAACATATCCATCATCTCAGCCATGTGCTTCATGCTGTTTTCAACAAATGTAACTTCTGCCGTCTTATTCGATATGTAATCCATTCTCTTCTTCAGACCAGAAAGATGGAACATTTCGTAGCTGACGATCGTAGCGTGCTCGGGATCCGTGGCGCGGTCGGAATACTCGTCTGAAATGAGGAAGGTCACATTATGACCTCTCTTCACCAGACTCTTTCCGACTGCAACCATCGTAAAATAATGGCTGCCATCTCCAAAGACACCAAAGAGAAGAATGTTCGCTGATTCCACATCGCTCAGTGCTAAGAGTAAGCCAACAGCAACCAGAATATGTCGGACTCTCCAAGAGAACATAGTGTTGTCGAATCTCAATGTATAAAACAACGTATACAACTCTCGAATTCCCAGGTATACTATTATGTGGATCGTGATAATAGTAATAAATCATTATGTCAATGTTAAGCAAACCGTTTATACACAGGATTGAAGGTCAAAATTATATTCGTTCCAGCCTCGCACGTATCGCACGACGTCGAACTTTAACCCATCAAAAATCTTTTTTGTTTTCACAGGTATGGGCACCAGTGTATTTCAGGGGGCAGTGGGAAGTTCCCCATGCAGACAACTTTCCAACCTTTAAAAAAAGATGATAGCATCTGGCCTTATTATGCGAGGGAACGTAGTGACCGATCAATAAAAGTATTTTAAAAAATGTTCCTGGGATTTGTTTCTTCTCTCGTTTAAGTAATTATACTTTATGCGTTTGTTGGAAAATTATAAATTCCCAAATTTACAGTTAGGCAATAATATGCATATTTAGGAACCTACATGTCAGGGCCGGCATATGTATGTGCTTCCTTATTTTGAAACGTGCCCCGTTTTTAAAAAAAAAGCCATCTCCCCCTTCTTATAATTGCCCCTACTCATGCCTTTGATAAATACCTCTATTACAATCGAATAGGTGCCCCTTTTCCTACGACAAGCGCCAATTTTCAGTTGTAATAAGTGCCTCTTTCTTTTCTCACAAGTGCCCTATTCATATCAGGTGAGTGCCCTTTTCAGGTACAAGAAGTGCTCCTTACCACCTTTGATAAGTGTCTATTCACTTCTTGTAATTGCCCCCTTTTTCAAATCTGAGAGGGGTCCCTTATATTTTGACAAGTGCCTCTTTTTATGCTTATAAGTGCCCCTTTTCATCTTTAGTGAGTGCCCTGAGTCAAATTTGAGAGATACCCCCTTTAACTTTGTCATAAATGCCCGTTTCCATCTCTGATAGTTGCCCCTGTTATTATGACACACCGTCCCTTATTCTTCATAATTTGTGCCATTTTCCTTCTGATAATCCCTTTTTTTACTTTGACACGTGCTCCTTTTCTTTTCTAATAAGTGTAAATTTCCCTTAGGATATGTGCCCCTTTTTCGTTTCACCATAAAATGTGCTCACAATTTATAGCAACTAAGAGCAAATTTTTTTATCAATATCGCTCAAAGCTTGATCGCTACGCTCACTCGCATTTAAAGTTGATATGATTATCTTTCTTATTCCTTGTCTTTTCAGTCTTTCATGATTAGATTGTGCTTAAAAATCCATTAAATTGAATTATTTTCCCCTCTTTATAAGATGTGGATTTTCGCACTGCGACCTCACAAATCTTTAAAATGTTGTTATATAAAATGTAATCCGGTCTATTTTGATCGAGTCGTTGTTCCACCTTTTTCAAAATTTAGCACGACTTTCAACCTTTCTCCTTACTACATGTAAAAAATGTTTATGTTTTCTGGATATAAGACAATTAACAGCAATACGGTAGCCACCCAAACTTTCATGAGGACTTGATTTTTTGCATACTAATTAAATTGTAATTCACGACGAACTCTTGCTGAATTTTACATCAATTTCATATATCATATTTCACAGTTGAAATAGCTTTTGTGCAAAAAAGTCGCATTGAAGGGCAATCCAACTTTAGTAATAATTTCAATTTTTAAAGCAAGAAATGAAACAGAATAGAGGAAGTGAAGTCTGTGGACGGGGTAAAGTCTAGCCCGAAAATCAACTTCTAGATTCAAGAAAGAAATAGTCATACAATGTTATTGTCCCAATCTTGCCATTTTATTGACATATATATCTTTTCACGATATAACGTATTATCATATTTCGTACTAGCTCGAAAATCGACTTCTAGATTCAAGAAAAAATAGTCATATCTCGTACGCGTTCTAATAATGTAGGGGAAGCCATATTAGGAAAAGGATAAACACTCCTCTTTAATACGAACAGATGAACTACACTAAACCTTTAATAACATGCTCTTAAAGCCCCACTGTCCTACTTGTAGCTAGTTGCTCCCTCTATCCCAATAAACAAAATCACGTGAAAATCACGTCAATATCAAGGTATCGACTCGAGGAGAGTTACGTTCTTCAAACACCGGACATTTACGTAAATGTGTTAATACGTTTATTGCATTAGGCACTGGCGTACTGGTGGGGGGGGGGGGCTTGGGGGGGCGCCAGCCCCCCCCCCCCCCCCAAATAAAATCGAACCATGACCAAGTAAAGAAAGAGAAGAGAAAAAAGAAGGAGAAAAAAAAGAGGAAGGAGAGGAAAGAAAGGAAAAGAAAGAAAAGGAGAAAGAAAAAAAAGGAGAAAGAAAAAGAAGAAATAAAAGAAAACATAAGAAAACAAACAAAACAAAACAAACGAAAGAGAGGAGAGAGAGAGAGAGAGAGAGTGGTATTAAGAGCCTAAGAGAAGAGGGGTGGGAGTAAGAGAGCAAAGGGAATGTTGGGTGGAGTCGCCACGTCGAAGGAGCAAGAAAGGTACGCATAGATAAATATGTTGTTGTGTCGGGTCCGCTGTGTCGGTATTCTTGCTCTATCTAGCTCGTGTACTATATCAATTAAGAAGTTTGAAGTCGGTGAGATGTTTAATGTTTAATGTTTTTCTCTCTACGAACTGTGACTTTTTATCGGACAAAGAAAAGAAAAAATTAATTCAGACAATTTCTCTGATAATTTAATGAAACGTCAAAGCTTCTGCGCATCGCGCGGGAGGGAGGGAAACTGAATTCAGACAAAGTGAGTAGAAATCAGTACAACGAATCGTCTTCTTTCTCTAATAATTAATTAAACGTCAAAGCTCTCGCGCTTGGCGCGGGAGGGCGAAAACTGAATTCAGACAAGGTAAAGTGTCGAAAACAGTACAACGAATCGTCTTCTTTCCCTAATAATTTAATGACACTTCAAAGCTTCCGCGCTACGCGCGGGAGGGGGAAACTCTTTTCAGACAAGGATTAAGGGTAAAAATTTAAGGAAACGCATCGTCTTCATTCTCTTATAATTTAATGAAACGCCGAAAGCTTCCGCGCTTCGCGCGGGAGGGGGGAGGGGGTGGGAGAACTGAATTCAGACAAAGATTAAGAGTAAAAAGAATCATTTAAAGAATCGTCTCTTTCTCTAATAATCTAATGAAATGTCAAAGCTTCCGCGCTTTACGTGGGAGGTAGGAAACTGAATTCGGACAAGGATTGTAAGTCGAAAACAGTACAACGAATCGATTTCTTTCTCCAATAATTTAATGAAACGTAAAAGCTTCCGCGCTAAGCGCGGGATGGGCGAAAATGAATTCAGGCAAGGATTAAGAGTCGAGAACGATACAATGAATCGTCTTCTTTCTCTAATAAATAAATGAAACGTCATAGCTTCCGCGCTTTGCGCGGGAGGGGCGAAACAAAAATGAAAGTCTTGAACGGTACAACGGATCGTATTCTTTCTCTAATAATTTAATGAAGTATCATTAATATATTTGTCGGTAATTGGTGACTCGTTTTGAAGGTAATCGGTGGCCTCTCCCCCCTCCCCCACTGAAAAAGATCTAGCAACGCCCCTCATAACAACACAGTTTATACACTCGATTTAATTTTTAGTACAACTGGTGAAGTACCGGACCACCGCCTTTGTGCATTGTGCGGCAACGAAGCATATACAACGTCTCACTTCCAGGAAGTGCCGGTGGACATTATTGCGCAAAATGTGGTTCTCAAATTGCAAAAGATTCCTACTCTTGGAGGGGGTAGGAGAAAGCAATTTTATGTCATATTACTCCAGGAAGTGCCTGAAAAGGCGTCTAATGTGGTTCTAAAATTGCAAATGCTTCCTACTCTGGGAGGGGGTCAAAACCCCCTCCCAGACCCACCCCCGCTTGGTCGTTCCGCTCCCTCGCCGCTTAAACCTCGCTCTGTCGCTTCATCAGGTTTTACATGTATTTCACCCCATGCCACCCCCGTAAGAAACTCTTGGATCCACCTCTGATGCCCATACCCATTGAGCTTGAGCTACGAAAAAGTTCAGCGGGGCCAGCATGTTAGAGTGGGGTGATGCGGATTTTTTTTTTGTCAGCCCCCCCCCCCCCCCCCCAAAAAAAAAAAAAAAAACGTTTTTGCTCATTACGCCACTGGCATTAGGTAACTTAAAACACACGTACACTAAATCACGCAATTGTCACAGTATCACCATTATAATAACGTGATTATCCCTACCTTGGAGACCATGGTTTGTAAACCTAATACTCCCGTATTTGTTTGGTTATGAAATTACATCTTCATACACGAAATTATCGCGTCACAGAAACACGTGAAGCGTTAGTGATAGTTTTAGTCAAAATATCTGCGTGAAATTCACGTGAATATGTACGAGGCTGACTTGAGATGAATCATGTTCTTCATGCAAATGTTACACAATAAATGAACCAAAATAATGACGTTCTCATCCCGTTTCTGAACATCGTGTCTTGGATCTTCCATAATTACGTCCAGGCGCGCCGGAAGCAGTTTGGGATTAGAGGGGGTTGGGTTGGGGGGGGGGGTGGGTGCAAACATCCCAGAAGAGAAAGCTGGTTGCCACTGGTCCAGTTGATGAACCATTTAATGCCAACTGGTAACCCTGGAAATTGAAATGGGCTAAATGATCCAGTTGATCCAGGCCAGTTATAATTCAACCGGTCTAGCTGAGCCTTAAGAACCATTGGGTAAAACTTCCAACCAGTTGAACAGCAACAATACTTCAATACTGGTACGTTTGTATTTTCAATGTAAGGGCATTGGTAATAAGTAGACTTACATAATTGAATTAATCCAAAAAATTTCGTATACTTGTACTTTATTGCAATTATTTTAGTTCACAGTTAATGTTTCCCTTATTCATGTTTAACTAAATGTAATTTATACGAAGTAGCGAAACGTCCTAAAAACTGGTAATTTATATTTGTAGTATTTTCGAAATGAATTGCATATAACTAAATCATCAGTAATTAAGAAATATGCTGTAAATTCAGATAAATTGTTTCAAAAACATAGATCTGCACGCACCCCATATTCAATATGCAAATGAATTGGTGTCAGCTGGGTCAACTTGAAATATGCCAACGCTCAGTCATCAACTGGTGCAACTGGAAATATGCACACTCCAGTTATCAACTGGTGCTATGAAAATATGCCAACAGTCAGTTATCAACTGGTGAACATAGAAATATGCCAACAGTCACGGGATTATCACCACGGAACTTATAAGGTAACTGTGAAACCATCAAGACACCCAAGAATAACTCATTTTCACACATGGAAAACACGCAATACCCAGCTTATATTAATAATCCGTTTGAGTCACGCGATCATCACCGCGGAACTGCTGGCAACTTTGACTACGATTTAAATAGGTGTTTTAAGACACCTAATAATGACTAATTTTTCACACCTAAAAGTCACGTATGCCCTGCTTAGATTAATATTCCGTTTGAGTCACGAGATCATCACCGCGGAACTGCTGGCAACTTTGACTACCATTTAAATAGGTGTTTTAAGACACCTAATAATTACTAATTTTTCACACCTAAATATCACGGATTCACAGCTTAGATTAGTAATCAGTTTTAACTACGTGATCATCACCAAGAAAGTTATGGTAACTTTGAAACCATCTAAATAGGTGTTTTAAGACACCTAATAATGACTAATTTTTCACACCTAAAAGTCACGTATGACCAGCTTAGATCAATAATCCGTTTGAGTCACGAGATCATCACCGCGAAACTTATGGCAACTTTGACTACCATTCAAAAAGGTGTTTTAAAACACTTAATAATTACTAATTTTCACACCTACATATCACGTTTTCACAGCTTAGATTTGTAATCAGCTTGAGCCACGTGATCATAACCAAGAAATTTATGGTAACTTTGAAACCTTTTAAAGAGATGTGTAAGACACCTCAGAATTACTAGTTGAATATAACCAGAGATTCACGGACAGACCAATAAGACGATTAGCCGGTGTAAGTAACGTGATTATTACCATCAACCTTTGATAACCTGTGAAACCAATCAATAAAGGTGCTTCACGAGACCAAATAATTACGTATTTATCGCCACCATCGGTTAACTGACCAAAAACTCGTTACTTGGTCAAGTGGTTATTTGGTCATAAACACTTGATTTACAGAGGTTAGTGGAATCACTTTACTCCAGTCGCGTGATAAACTGGTGGTTTTTAGGTTAGATGAAAACGTGAACAGGAGTATCTGTTTTGTTTAAATGAAGGCACGTGTCGATAACGTTTAAATCTGGTTCAAAAGGCACTATACTTTAAAATCACTTAAAATACACTCCCAAAAGAGGTTACTTTTTATTGTTCTGCTTATTGGGATATAGAAAATTTCCCCAATCGGTGCCTGTTGATCCCCCATGATCCTCTTTTTCTTATGTTAGTTGAGAGCTGAGTTAATGAGATAATGAGACTTGTCATTGACCTCGCTGTGTGGTCTAATCCCTTCTGGCCCAGTAGTATTGACGGTCTTTAAAATTGATTTTATCATCATGAATGTACATTTGCTCACATAATTATTTTGCTGATATGAAAACTAATGAAAGCATGAAAGAAAATAAATGTTACTTTAAATTGAATTAAATTGAATTGCATTTTTTTTTAAACATTTGGAAAAAACTAAGATATCACCAACATAAATAGGATAGTAGGGTGTTTAAATAGTATTCACCTGTCATAATCGAGTGGTGGCTGCACGTGCCTCAATATGTTATTTCAAATTTTAAAACTTGTGGGGGAGGGGGTGCTGCAGCCCCCTCAGCCTCTTGTTATGTGGGCCTATGGTATTAAGGCAAAATGGCCCCTAAACCATTCTCTAAACTATAATTGATCGAACAACTTCTTAGCTCTTTCAACCAGATGATGGTTGATCCAGTATTTTTCCAGTATAAGATCAAATATATTTTATACTTTTCATCTTTCCGGCCGGATATCTATTTAGCACGTTTACCGCCATCTTCGACATTCCAAATGTAATCCCAAAAGAGAACCGTTTCACGAGACTTTGGCAACAGTAATATGACTCGAAATTTAGAATCTTTTGTAATGGTGTGGGGGGGGGGGTAACAGTAATATAAAGCACACTGGTATATATTTGCTCGACAGACGCTCGACAAAATGAGGTCGAGTTTTTAATGGGCGATCACTTTTTGGACGAATTAAATCAATCTCCTTGTCTGTCAAAGGTTGCTGGGAATTCCCAGTCACTAAAAATAGACCAAGAGACTGAATACATACATTTATATAGTACCACTTATGAACAGTTAACCATTACATTGCAATGGCAAAGAGTATACATGTTTACTGATTCCTAAAATCATCATTTTCCTTTGGCTGAAATAGGCGGGTCTCGGTCTGGATGTCTTTGAGGTGATAAATGGAGAGCGATTGAGCTAATTAAAGCCAAGAAAAAACAAATATAACTTCGCACTGTTCGTTTGTCCTGTGGAAAACGACGAGTTTTGGTAAGTTGCAGTGACTTAGATTACAAATAGATATGAATGCACATGGTTGGTGTTCAGGTTAGTATGTGCTTTTTTAATATAGCTAACATTTCAGCTAGTGATTCTGCCAAATCAGAGCAGTCTATATAATTTCCTCTTTACAACATGATGATTTTGTTTAAATAGTATATATTCTGGTGTGCTAAAGTACATGTATATAGTACTGCTTTTGATACGTCATCAGCGTATCATATTTGTTTCATTTCGAAGGTCACAAGTTTCTAATATATGTACTTGGTTTTAGATTAATCAAGAAATAATGTAATGATTATTTGTCCTTATTTTTCCAATGCCAAAGTGACGAAATGCGAATGGTAAACTACATTTCTGAGACGTGTGTTTAAAATATTTGTTTAATTTTTCACCATTTACCTATAACCATGGGCTTCAAGTGGTGGAAAAATATTATGATTTGTATACTTCTTATATACGTCAGATTTCCACAAAATTTCTACTAGCATGATTAGTTGCGATACATGAAGAGGTGTTAAAGTCTATTCTAGAGGATAGGTCGTTTGTTTGTGAATCACATAGTTCGTGGTTCGAGTCCCGACCACTACGGCACTAATATGCTTTGGCAAGACATATCTCTATATTGGTCACTCTCCATCCGACCCATGTCTATAGTGAATGGGTACCCGGTAGGAAGAAATTCCGGGAATGCTTAAAGGCACATTACCATGGTAGGTTAGCTAAAGACGGGTGTAGAGATATCTACATATGATCCTTGAGACAATGTAGTAATTTCATGGTTCTTTGTTTATTAACACTCAACTGAACTCCAATCATTTCCATACACCGGAATGTACAAAGTAGCAATAATAGTAGTAGTTTAGTAGGTAAAACAAAGTTTTCCTTCCTTGAATCCGTGCCCACATCATATCATATCTGTAGTTTCCATGTGACAAGCCTAGCTACGTTTGTACAACAATTCCAGTCAATCTACGGTATCCTCAAAACAAAAACTAAATTTGGCTTCTTATATCTTGATACTTACAACGGGGAAGTAATAAGATTGCAGGGCCCTCGGGAAAAACAGTGTGTGTACTGATGGGGATCTAGGTAAACAAGGCATCATTGTAAATATAATGATTATTGTTTTTTTTTCTTATATAATTATTATCATTATAATAATAATAATAATAGTGGGTTCTTGTATAGCGCTCATGTCAGTCAGATTTGACCCTCCTGGCGCTCCAGATTATTACCCTGGCTTTAGCACGGCTGCCATACGGCGCTCTAGCATTTCAAGGAATAAATTCCTACCAGGTACCCATTTACTTCACCTGGGTGGAGTGTGACAAATGTAGATCAATGTCTTGCCAAAGGACATTAGTGCGGCGGCGGGACTCGAACCGCGGACCTTGTGATCGACAGTCCGGCGACGTATCCACTCGACCACAACACCTCTACAATTATACTATTATATCTATTATACTATTATATCTATTATAATTAATATTATTATCATCATCATCATCATTATTATTATCATCATCTTCATTTCCCCCCATTATAATGTACATTATCTGAAGAGTGACAAAGGAAACAGTTTGATTTTTAAATTTTCATTACTACGTACATAGTACATTCAGTTGATGAATAACATGCTTTTTTTTTAATCAACATATAACGGAAAATCATATTTTGTACGCATTATATTCTGTAGGAAAAAGGTGTGAGGAAAATGATAAACCCTCCCCTTTAATACGATCAGATGAACCAAAGCTACACTAATCATCTTTGATTTCCCCTTTTCTTTCATCTCGTATTCCTGTAGAATTCGAATCATGGCTGATACATTAAAGAATGTTATTGCTCAGAGTCTGGAGTGTCCTGTATGTCTGAATACCTTCACCGATCCCAAGATCCTATCTTGTTCTCACACCTACTGCAAGGCCTGCCTGGAAAATCTCTTGGGATGCAATGGTAACGACCAGATGCTCCGATGCCCTGTCTGCAGAGCTGAAACCCAGGTCCCAAACCAAGAAGTCAGCAAATTACCGGCAAATCTGGCTTTGAAGTCTCTCATAGAGGACATGAATAATCAATATCAGTTTTGCTCGAATCAGTGTAAATCCGAGGACAAGCCCCAAGCTGTTGTCTACTGTCAAGACTGTGGCAGGTATTTCTGTTTCACTTGCCACAACTTACACTCTCAGTGGCCAGTCTTCATCAGTCATGAGGTTTTAGCCATGAGTGAGATCGTATCAGGAAAGGTGTCAGTACGTAGATACCGTAAATGCAGAAAACACCCAAAAGAGGATGAGGAGTGCTTCTGTTCCAACTGCAGGAGATTTGCCTGCTTCAGGTGTGTTGTCATGGAACATACAAACGAAGGACATCGGGTCATCGAGGCAGCTGTTTATGAAAGCAGCCATATGAAGAGTATCGAGGACCTCAAATCCAAGGCTGACAAGAAACGCTCTTGCTTTCAGAAATACGTTGATTTCATTGATGAACAGAAGGAGCGTGTGAACAATGTTCAGAAGCAGTGTACATATGATATCAACAAAGCATTTGAAGAATCAGTCCGGCAGTTGACAGAGAAGAAAGAAATCCTCATTGGTGAAGTCAAGGGTATGACCGAAGGAGTAGAGAAAGAACTGGACGAAATGAAGAAATCGGCTCAGGAGCACATCACTCATTTGACTACCATAGCTGACGTGGTAACCAATAAGACAAAGATACCGTTAGATATGGATGCTTTGGCTGCACACGACACTCTATGTCAAGGCTTACAGAAGGCCTTGAAACAAGAAGATCCTGACTACAAGCAGCCAAGGCAATCGAGCAAGAAAGGAAAAAGAATCAGTTTTAAGAGAAACATTGGAATGAACGAGGAAGCTCTCGGTAAGATCGCAATTGCAGTTGCAAAGACCATTGCTTTGCCTACCAAGGATAGCATGTATGCCATGGTTAGTACACCAGACTGTAAGATGGCAGTGTGCTGTTGGACAGGTGGCGTGGAGATCTTCTCTGCTGATGGTCAGCACCAGCAGCAAGTTTTTGAGGACGTTAACATTCGTGGAGTAGGGTTCCTCTCTAATGATCGGTATGTTCTACTTGATTACTCAAACAATATCACACTTTACACACCAGAGTACACAAAGTTGAATATAATGTTTGAGACTCTGAGTGACGATGAAGGTGGATTTGGTAACCTCACTGTAGACGGTGATGATCAGATCTATGTTAGCTACAGGATTGCTGAAAAGATCCAGATATTCTCACCAGCAGGTGGGAAGGCGATCAGGGAGATACCATGTAATGGGTATATACCTTATCAGATTACTAATTATAATGATTACCTAATCACCGGATCTGATGATACAATACGTTTGATTGACAAACAAGGTGTTGTAAAATATCAATTAACGAAATCATGGGATTACCTAATCGCTGCTGTGTCTCAATGGAATACAATCCTGATAGCCAACGTGAAGAACGACGTAGGTTTGGTCAGCATTGATGAGTACACTAACAAGCTGAAGCATGTCCAGAACCTCGTTACTGATTACGAGATTGAGAAAAATGACAGAGGGTGCTGGTACATTCTCCAGCAGTACCGATCAGGAGAGATCGCTTTCTGCACTCCTGATAGACTCTATATATTCCACTGAAAAAAATGGATGATTTCTAATGGACTCATTCTAACTTGAACTGTATGATATCAGGAGGGGGAGGGGTGCCATGTGTGCGACCGGATAATTTTAAAGGTAAAAACGGGCATGCTGAAAAATTTAAAGAAACATAATATTTCGTTTTAAACGGACCCATGCCCGCTCCCTTTTTCAGAAGCTTCCAACAGGCCTTTTGTTTCTGTGACTTCATAAAGTGTAGATAACATCTAGTGGATTCATTTATATTTGTTACTACGTAAATTGGAGTTTTCGTGACTGTTTTAGAAATGACATTCCTAGATCATGTAGATTTATTTGAATGATTGAAATTTTCTAATATTTTTTTAAAGTAACCTTTCCTTCAATATACTTCTGAGGTGTTTGCCTTTCAGGATTTTGTCGTTGATGAAGACTATACATTTTTTTCAAAGGCTAGCTGTTGAAAATGTATAAATGATATAGACACATTTCAATTATGTACTATTTTACAGTCGGAGATAAAAATCCTAGTGGTGGACTCAATATTTATTGCCGTTTAATACAATTAATTTTTTATTTTTGTATTTACTACAATGCATTTCAGATCACTGCCCGATTAATCATACTAGATTTCATCTTTTACCCAGAATCATGAGAAAAAAATGCCACTTGTTCAAAATAACTTCTACTTCTTACACTTTCTCGAGTTGTGTACTAAAGAGTGTAAGAGTACTGAAAGTCAACGTATTGATTGTATGATATATGTTGTAAAAGTATTGTCAAACTAAATGTCAGAATAAGGGTTTATGTTTTAATTTAATGGACTGTGATATCTTGTCTTCTGATTTCCATTTTTACATTCCGTCTGGCAAAGTACATCGGAGAAATGGCATGGAACTTGTCAATACCCGATTCATTTATGCACTTTTTGGAGATATTTCGTTTTGTCTGTGTTTCCATTTCTTTCAGTATATAGTATGTATTAGAAAAGAATCTCACTGATTTTAATGAAAGCAGAACAATTAGAGATATTGGTCTTTTTAAAGTTTAAGACAAATCTGACAATGTGTGATTCTAAAGCTACTCTCTGTACGGTTTGTACAATATACAATGTAAAGATTTCATTAAACATCATCCAACCATTTTTCTTTGTCATACCAACAGGTGTATGGCCCAAATATGACGTTGTAAACTATTACCGGTCCTCCTGTGTGTAAATCAAGTTCAGTTTCATCCAAACTTAAACATAAAAAAATTAAAATAGGGACATTTTCTATACAAAGCAAATGGAGAGGTGATCGCAGTTAAGGTTGCCGATATGTAGGGGCTTAACATTTTACAGTTGCATTAATTTCTTTTTTAAAATCTTTTTTAATTCCCCCGTTTCTTCGATTTTTTTCATCAGTGTGATGTAAGGTGGACTTCATTTTTATTTATGCCTCCGCTACAAAGTAGCTGGAGGCATTATGTTTTCGGGTAGTCCGTCCGTACGTCCCGTTCTCGCTTGTTATGCATTCCTGATATTTTGGAACGAGAAAAGCCCTTTTCATGTACATGACCGGGTATGGTGGCTCAATGGTTAGAGCGTCCGCCTCATGAACGGGAGGTCGTGGGTTCGATCCCCGGCCGACTCATACCAAAGACTTATAACAATGGGACCTTCTGCCTTCTAGCTAGGCGCTCAGCATATTAGATTGGAGAAGGGTAATAGTAACATGTTATGTTATGCAGGGCCCGCTGGGAGAGCAGTTTTATAACTGAAGTGGCTACCCTGGGTAAATAAAACGTTATTATTAGTAGTAGTAGTAGTAGTATCCACCGGGAATGCTGTTCATTTTTGTTTCTTCACTATATCCATAACTTTGTATTAGTCTTTGTCTCTTTCAAATCATGTATTTCTTTGACCTTGTTTACCTTTCTTCGCGTGCCATTGCTCATAACATGTTTATTGGACGCCACAAAGCTTTTTATTTTGTTTTGTTTTGATTGTGTTTGTACTTTCTCTCTATGTATAATTATTTGTTTGTTTGTTATTGTCTGTCTTTTACTTTAATAGGTTCCAATTCATGGGTGGTAGATGCTAGACGTTTATTTTCTCATGTACATTAAATATGTCAATCGGAAGTGAGTCTTAAAATACACTATAATTTGTTTGTATTTTTATTTCTCTTTCTCTCTAATGTTTTTTTTAAAGACTAAGTGTGCATGATTATTTGTTTGTTTGTTTTTGTCTGTCTTTTACTTTAATAGGTTCCAATTCATGGGTGGTGGATGCTAGACGTTTATTTTCTCATGTACATTTAATATGTCAATTGGAAGTGAGTCTTAAAATACACTATAATTTGTTTGTATTTTTATTTCTCTTTCTCTCTAATGTTTTTTTAAAGACTAAGTGTGTATGATTATTTGTTTGTTTGTTTTTGTCTGTCTTTTACTTGGGTTCCAATTCATGGGTGTTAGATGATCAAGACGTTTATTTTCTCATGTATATTCAATATGTCAATTTGAAATGATGTCTTAAAATACACTATAATGATGTTGAACTTTTCGAATGAGTCGTATGTTATGTAGCTTTCAATTATAGTATGTAATGATCAATTACTGTTGAATGTTTATCAAATATATATTTGTAAAATCTGTGAATGATGGAAATAAAATACCGCGTAAAACAAACAAAAAATACGTAATCTATCAGAATTTGAAATATAAAAAGTTGCTATAACGACCATGACGTTGTAGATGTACATGATTCTTAACTTTAAGCATCTGAAGAATTTGGGGGAACTGAAATCGCTATACACAAAGATAATTATGCAATGCTGATTGTCGTATTTTAACATGTGGTTATTATCAAGCAGTGTACATGGGTAACTTTGTATTGTTTCGTCTGTGCATTGAGGAGTTTGTGTGGCGAGGGTAATAACTTCGACTTTCCGTCACGTTTTTGCTATTTTATCAACAGCAACATAAAAAGTCTATTTCAAAGAAATATATTTCAGAGGTTTACCAACTTGGCTTCAACTAAGATAATGATGAATCAAGATTTGAACCGAAATAACTAAGCAAACATAAAAAGTAATTAAAACAAAAACAACTAAAAGTTACTCTTGCAAAATATTAATCTAATTTGATTTTTTTTCTTTCATTGATCTGTTGTATAATATCGCGCACTGTGATGCGTATTTTTTTGTGGTAGGAATGTTGTGTTTTTGTCATGTCATTATAATCTGGTACAAACATTATTATGAGAAATGTATACATTGCCGATTTCTAGGTGATTATCGTCGTTACGTACATTGAAACTTATTACATGACTTTTTATATCAATAAAATAATATGGCTGACAAATGTGTACAGGCAACAACAAACAGACACGTGAATGCAATGAGTTTATTGTCAGTGTCCGTTCCGATGGTGGAATGTGAATTATAAAAGCTATAATGAAAGTTCATGATGAAGGGGGAAAACTGTTGCCGAAAGAGATTTTTAAGATTGATCGAAAGGGGAGGGGCAAGTAGACATAAAATGTGTAGAGAGGTTAGTAAGAGAGATAGGACTGGGTAGGGGAAGACTATTAATCATTACAATGATGATCATGATTCGAGAAGTAAAATCCTATCATTTCAAGTTTGCTCATTGAATTATAGTTGCAGTTTTATTGTCCTTCATGACACTTCTTCGAAATGATAATCTCAAATGATGATATAAAAGAATTTTAAATTATATCTACGCTTTGACAATGATATACGAGATGAACGTTTAACTTTGGTGGCTGTTGTTCGGTGAATCTCCGTGTACTCTGTAAAAGAATATGACCATTTGATTAAATTATAGTCATTCAGAATCAAAAAAAGAATTACCTTTGATTGTATGATTTCTTATTAAATTCATGATTGCAATCGAATTCCCCTTTGACATGAAAGCAGTACATAAACGAGGTAAATTGCAGATTAATTGAATAATCGTTAATGTAGCACAAAATTAGTGCAACAATGAAAATTGCAAAGAAGATTTAGCAATGTATATATCGAGTTAGGTGAAAGCAGCGAATTACACTTCAGCATCTCAACAAACTATTCGAACATACTTTATACATGTATTTTCACCTTGAAAATTTCCCTGGGAGAATTTATCAGAGTTCACTTTTATCTAAACTAAGTTTCACGTTTGTACAGTGAATCACGTGTATAAGCATATCAATGAATACAATTTGCGTCCAATGGCAATCTTCTTTTTGAGATATCAAAAACAAATATTTTTGGAAAAGGTGCAAACTGCAAAAGATGTTTCAGGGTGCGTTTAAGCTCAATTTTGAAGGCAGAATGAGCGATTTGAAACGCACATCGTAAACGCTCATCGTAATCGCAGTTCCACGGTGTACTGTTTATGCTCACTTCTCTGGCTCCTCCAGGCAATTCTCACTGGGTGGCCTTAATTGGACTTGCAGCTGGATTCGCAAACCTGCACTGTGCATGCTACGTAGACCCACTAGAGGTCAGTGCGTTGACCCCATTTAAACGCGTTTACAAATTGTAAACGCACCTTTTTGTGAGTTTACGATCGGCGATCGTGATCGCCGTTTTTCGGTGATTCTACAAAAGTGAGAAAGAACGCAACCGTGTTTTGAACTAAACGCATAACAGATGCCTGATTCTGCCCCCCCCCCCCCCCCCCCAGTGGCTACGTGCCTGCATGTTGAACAGAAAATGTATCTTGGTCCTTATCAAATATCGGTGCTTTGCAATTGAATAGCTAATTATAAAAAATAGACCTACATTTTAGGCTATAAACATGCACCCAAAACATTCAAATATAAATGTGAGCTTCATACATCGTTTTAGTGTAAAAGCTAAGGTCACGTGCTAAACAATTATTTACCAAGGAAGGACCTTCATAATGGAAAATGAAAATGTCACATTTCATGAAATATTTCAGGAATCGCAGGAATAGTTTGCGATATCGTACATGATAATAGGACACTGTTCATTCAGGAGGACCAATGAAACGTGTACTGAATAGCA